CCTCTAGCCAGGGTCAACCCACCACACTATGACAGCATCAGAATTAACCTACACTAAGCCTTTCTATTTCTGTGCCAGAGAATAATAATAATCCTTTCTTGCCATTGACAAGTCCAAGTCCCATAGCACTGAAACCCCTTTTTACATGCCTGTCAATAAACACAGTTCTTGTTAGAAGATTCACTATTGTGAGTGAGCAAAACAAGTAATAGTGCTTAAAATGAGAAATATTTAGCAAACTCACTCATTCTTGCAGGGATGAAATAACACTTTTTTCCTGGTTGGAAGGCAAGAAATCTATTTTACCTCCACAAGTCCACTTGGATATCACACAATATTCAATATCAAGAGGGATAGTGAGACATGGCCTGTTCCTATGGGTCATTTCTTTAACCAAGATTATCCAGTACTGCTGCATTAGAACATCATGCAATGCATATAAAAAAGAATCATAAGCAATCCTTCTTCCCATTTCTGCCACCTTAATTGAGATTAATGCCTAAGCACTCATTATTTCAAAGAGCACATAATTTATTTGAATGCTCTTGGTAATTTTAAGAGATCTACATGGAAAGTTAGTACATGACAGAGTTTGTCCTGAGATACTATGTTGGTTTATACTTATTTTACTAATTTTAGATTAAATCAGTCTACAGATGGAATGCAGTTAAATGACGTGCTCAGGAGCACCTCTTCCACAGCCTTCTTCAGCCTCTGCCAGAGAAGAGTTTGCTGAGAGGATGACAGTGATGGGTCTGGGTGACTGGCAAGGTATGTCCTTGAAATCAGCAATCTGACCTCCCACAGGTTCAGTAACACTAGAACCTTTCCAAATGCCAAACGGATCACATCAATACTACCTTGGTAGCACATTCATAGAAAAGAATAGCTAGAGAATGGAGTTGCCAGCTAGCACTACAGAAAATGAAAGCAAAAGCATATACAAACTTAAAGCAGAATATGAAGTCTCATAAAGACCGCAGATCTCTACTATTTTTTATTCAAACAGCAATTCTAACTGAAGTTACATCTTGAACTAGAGAGGCAGGCTGCAAGACAGCCCGTGCATGTCCCAGCACCAGCAGTAAGTAGGTATTAGACCATATAGGTAATAAGTAAATAGGTTGTACATAGTCATGAGAGTCTGGGGAATTCAAGGCAAAGAACTGAAATGCAAAGACACGCACCATCCCCAGATCCTGCAGCAAGCCCAGCAAAGTAATGCAGTCATAGAGAGAGTGTATTGTGTGAGAGCTCTCACTGTGGAATGGGCTCCCAAGTCAAGGGCTTGGATGGAGACGGGGCATAAGGCATAAAGTTTCAAGAACTTTTTAACTGAATTTGTGTTTTACACACAATTCTTGCTCCATTCTACTTATGATTGCAAATAACTCCATGTAACAGGATGCTCTTTTCTGAACGTTTTCCATTTAAAAATATAAGATGGTCCTGAAGAACTGTTGGAATTCTTAAGTCTGTCCCCTTTGAAGTTTGCTACAATTAGTGTTAGGACTGCTGGTATATTAAACACAAAAAGGAAAAAGCTAGCATATATGGCAGTGCTCTGACACACAAAAGCAGGGTACAGGACATGTCAGGGAAAAGTCAGCGTGATTTGCTTTTAGGTATTTAAAAGCAAGCCCAGTGACAGGAAGGATTTTTTGCATTGTTTTCTCATCGTCTCTAAGGGAAACATTAAATACATGTGCTAGCTTCTTAAATTATTTAAAGGAAATAAAATCACCTCTTCTTGCTAAAAGCCTGACAGTAGAATACAATAGATGTGCTCAGGCAAGAGGAGCATGTAAATTCTGCAAACCATCACATACTGATAGATGTTTCTGGGCAAACTGCCACAAGAGGAAATAGGATTTTTCACTGATAGCATCTGCCAACAGGAGAACAGTAATCACGTGGCTCCTGATTAAATATAAATATAATGGATGAAATCCACTGTAATTGCTGCGTAGCTAGAAGTATTTTTACAAGTGTGATTCTAGATGATTTAACATATCAGCCGAAGAAAATGAACTCCCTTTGAAAATCCAGTTTTCATTCCCAGGGCAGGATATATAAATCATATAGTACCTGCTTTTGTTGCTGCAGTAATTCGGCAGTCTGCAACTGTGGTCCATGATCAGTGCTCTCCATGGTGGGATGCTGGGAGAAATCTGTCAGTGCAAACACAACGTCCTCTTCCTCCTCCTCCTGCTCTGCATCGTCCGCCTTCTGCTCAGACTTAATTCCAAAGTCTGGGAGGGCCTCAGGGTGCTCGATCTAAAATGGAAGAGATGGGACACATCAACGCTCTTTTGCCATTTACCTTGGGGGGCAGAAATCTACTGAAGGGCTAAGGGAAGCAACTATCTTCCCCTGCATCTCTGTGGTGGGATATATTGACTTTTATTCTGTAGGCTACAGGAAATGATCTTTGGGTGGTATATGACATGTTGCATATGTGAACACAACACTATATGCAGGCCTGCAAAACAGGAGAGCTATACAGCTGAGAAGATGGGTGTACAACTGTAATGTAGCATGATGGATTATAACATTATTATGATTATTATTATATCTTTATTATATTATTATTAATGAATCATTATATAATTAATGAAAAACTATACAAGATGCTGGTGCATTGTCTGCTGAAGATAGAGTGATCAGGAAGTATCCAAATCTAGCAATTTATTCCTATCTAATGCATTAGCAAAACACGGCTCCAATAATGACAGGAGGTGGACTTATTGTAAATTAACCAGTCAAAAAAATCCAAACAGTGAAAATGTGAAAGCTATTTTGATATTAGAAGATGAGCTAGTTTACATAGAAGCAAATTAGTACCGCTGAAGTAAAGTAGAAGGAAATTCTTTCTAAATAGCTACTCATCTCCTGTTTGTGACTCATGTTACCACAGCATATGAAGTTAAAGATGTTCATCTACCCTTTATCTAAGAATACCAAACATCAGAATATTCAACTTAAGCATACTCCTAGCAGACCTGAAAGGTTACATGTGCTGCCAAATGCAGCAAAGAGGGGAAAAAACACTAGGCAGGTAAGTATCAGAAATACTGAGAAAAATTAGTTGCCTTACCAAATGATTTCAGAATTGCATGAAGCTGCAAAATAAATCTATTATTCTCAAGAATTTTGGATAAAATGTCAGAATGAGCAAATGCATTTCTCTACTTTTTTTTTCTTTTAAGTAAGATTTCCAAAGCAAATGGTAATTCTGGATGTGCAACGCAACACAATTTAGCAGCATCTTTCTTCACAGTGCGTGTTAGCTGGCAATTGCATCCCTGCTGAGATGTGTCAGCTTGGGGATTGCAGGTTGTTATGTACTTCTGAAATTCCTGATCTTAATTTAGTTGCTACTTGGAAATCACCACGATGACTACTGGCGTACTGCTGCTGACGGTGATAGCCGTGTGTATGGAGAAGAGGAACAAACAAGAATGATTCACTGTAAGTTCCCACAAGAAGCTGTATAATTCTCCTGCCAACATGAAAACAGAGCTTCCCTCCATCTGTATTGCTGAAGGCTTTGTAAGGAACACACTGTGCACACGATGAGAAAAACGACAGCTCTCAACCCATCCAAATAGATTTGACTCCATCCTAACACATTTTTCTTTCCAAAAATTACTCAGGAGTCATATATTTGAGACCTAATTAAATTTTCATTTACTATTTTTCAGGACCAGATGTTTGTACTAGTTAAGGGTTTGGATTTAAAGATGGGTGATCTGTAACATATCACGCAGAATAGACTTTAGCACAACCCAACTTAAAAAAAAAGGCTTCACGTTTAATTTGAATCCCCTTTAAATCTGTGTGCAATTATAAAGTTGCTGATGCCACATTATATTTACAGTCTACACTTAAAGAAGGGACACTCCAGTGCCCCAACTGCTCGCAATTTCATTGCATTAATAAGGTGGGACAGTTACCTCTAATATGTCTTCCCCTTCCTCCTCCATTCGCTTGCCTTGCCGCCAATGTTTCAGCAGCCACTTCAGTTTGACATACAGGAGAAAGGTGTCCTGCTTGAAATGCCTGAGTTCTTGCTGCAGCAGACTCTTCTCCTGGCTCCAGGTCTTCTCTTCCAGTTTGTTCTGCAAAGTCAAGCTCTGCACTTCCAAGTCTTTCCTCCGCAGGGTCTGCATATGCTCCTCCTCCAGCTTTAATGGAATGACAGACATCATGTCAATGAGGTGGTGTCCCGGGGTGGTCTCCAGGACTTGTACTTTGTTGGGTGAGATGAACTGAAATCTCTAATTTTCATCAGTAGTAAGTAGCTATTGAGTTTGGCTTAATAAGTTCCTCACCAGTTATGACTGTTGAGGAAATTAGAGGACAGCAGCCAATAAGCTTAGATAACCATATCCAAGTAACCTGCTGTGGAAGTAGACAGTTTGTTTACTTTAAATGAAACCTTTGCTGCTGCTTAAGCTTTTTATACCACTCCTGTTTTCCTCCCTCTCTTGATTGTATCCCTGCAGTATGTTCCCAGCATAGCCACCACCCCACACTGCTGCACGTATCACACCCGCTAAATGCATTTGCGGTCATTCCTACAAGGTGCCCTTCAGACAACCTGGAATATTATCCTTGCCTCTTCCCTCCCCAGTCACAAACTCATCCTTTCCACTGTGGCGACATCTCCCTTTGCTTCTGGAAGGGCAACACTTCCCAAGGAACCACATCCAGCATCTCAGATAAAACTACTGGTCCCTCACTTCTCACAGTTCATACTTAGAGGTGTCTGAACAAGTCACAGTAAACAGTTTCTCATTCTGATGCAACCAGATCAGGGACACA